GTAAGTGTCTGCTTTGAGCTCTGGTCGTGATCTTGGAGTCCTGGAATCAAGCCTCACATGTGCTCCCTGCTCAGCTGGGAGCCTGGTTCCTTCTTCCTCTGTCCCCTGCCCCCCACCTCATGCTCCCTATCTGCCTCTCTCTTTCTCAAATAAATAACTAAAATCTTTTTTAAAAAAAAAGACATATTTCTCTTTTTTTAATTGAAATGTTGTTGACACACTATGTTACATTAGTTTCAGGTGTACAACATAGTGCTTTGACTACTTTATATATTATGCTATGTTCATCACTAGTAGAGCTACAGTCTGTCACCATACAACACTATTATAATACCACTGACTGTATTCCATGTGTTGCACCTCTCATCCCAGTGACTCATTCATTCCATTACTGAAACCCTGTATTTCCCATTCCCCTTCACTCGTTTTGCTCATTCTCCACCCCCTCTTCTTGGGCAGTCATCAGTTTGTTTCCTTCATGAGGTTTGATTACATCTGAATATTTGAGATATCTGCATCTCTTATGAGATTGGAGAAGTATTGGCAAGGTTCATCAGGAGACTCAAATTCCAGCCTCCTCTGCCGTTCATTGACTAAACCTCTTGGTGCTTTACTTCTATAAAATGAGGATGCTGGACAGATGAGGATGAAGTTTCCTTAAAGCAGATAATTATGGTCAGGTGTGTGTAGTGCATCATAGAAGGCCACACTGGCTGCTATGAAAACCCAAGGAATGGTACCACTCCTGGATTTACAGGGAAGGGACTCAGAGAAGGCTTCTTAGAGGAAGCAATCCTGATCTGACTTTTGAAGAACAGGAAAGAATTCATGCTGTTGGAAGAATGAATTGACAAATAAAGCAAAAATGCATCTTATAGAAGCCATCATTTTATTTGGCTAACTAGGAAATGTCATCTGTTTCAACATTTAAGCCTCAGGAATAATCTAAGTTCAAACAGACTCTAATGAGTCTGTTACACCTTGTTTCTGGATACTCATCATGAAAAGTCACTCTGCAAGCAACTTTTCACAATGTAGTCCTCTTTTTTGTGAAAAGATATTTCTTTTCCTTCTTCAGTTAAATATCAAATCTTGAAAAAGATATCAACTGCCACAGACATAGGTGGTATGATGATCATTGCATGGGATACAAAGACTTCTTGGGAAAATGAAGATCAATCAGAGAGTATGAGCAAAGAAAGGATCATTCCAGGGCTATAGGCAAGGTCAACGAAAGATAACTGACCTCACACAATTTTGGCAGTGGATTAGACAATATGCTTACACAGCAATCATTTTCATGTGGCTAGACCATCCAAACATTCACAACAATAGATTCTGAAAGGAGGAGAATTATCTCAGTTGACCTAGCCATGCAATCTCAGCAGTGATTTCTAAGTAGTCACTGGCTCTCCCACAATCCTCATCACCTGCACCAATGTCAGAGGTAGAACTCATTCGTGCATTCAACAAATTTAGTGAGTACCAACTATGTAATACCAGCACTTTTCTATACACTAGGGACATAGTCGTGAACAGATGAGACAAAAACCCTTGCCTTTGTGGAAGTTAAATTCTAGTGTGTGATTTTTGGATGGAGAAAAATACAAAGAGTTTTAGCTTCTAACCAAAAAGACGTATTGCTGTTCTGCACAGTCCTGAAGGAACATTTTGTAAAAGAGTCCAAGCCACCCGTGAGCCAGCCTTCCTCCTGATCCCTTGTCCCTTCATCTCAGTCTCTGTGTCACAGCAATTTGCAGAACACAGTAAAGTCAAGGCAGTCTGATGCTTTTTTCTTAACGCACCCTCATTATCAAGCCACATGACTCCTAAAGCCTCAAAACAAAAATGTTCATAGGCCTTGAACCACTTCTGGAAATCTTGGCTGAGAAAACACACCTAACTTCTGAAAAGAATTCAGGTTGCAAAAATGTGCATCACTTTAAACTACCTTCCCTCCTGCAAAATAATGGGGCGAATTAAATGCCCAACTATAAATTAATGGATAGGTAAATTATTGCTTTTACATAAGGTGACATCACATGCAGCCATTAAGATTATATTTACAAAGATCCTATGATAATGTGGGAAAATACTTATTATAAAATATTAAGTAACCAAGCAGAACAAAACTATATATCTTCAATACAACAAGCATGTGTAAAAATCAACTAAGAAAAATAAAAGCCTTGATGGAAATGTCCCAAAACATTAACCACTGATGTACTTAGGTGTTGAAACTATGGGTGTTTTCTACTTTTTTGTATTTTCCTTTTGTTCTTTAGTGAGTATTTCTTATCATCAGAATTTAAAAAATAATAATTCAAGTATAGAACAGCTTATCATGGTAGCTAAGAGCCTGAGATCTGATTCAGACTCCCTGTATCTGAACTATGTGTGGCTCCTCAAATTACTGTGAGACCTTGGGCAAGTTATTTAAACTTTTCTCCTCCTTAGTTTTTCACCTGCAAAATGGGGGCGAAAATAGTGCCTCTCTACACAGGTTGGTGTGAAAATTAGTAGATAATTCATGAAGAGTGCTCAGCAGAGTATAACATCTCATAAGCACTCTAAATAACAGATTCAAGACTCCAGTGGCCTCAAAGAAAGAGCTCACACAAGAGAGAAGGTGGACACACATTACATTTTTACATCTCAGGAACAACTAACCCAGAGCTGTGTTTTCAGTGGATAATTCTCCCTCAGTCAGAATCAATCCCCAAATCCTTGACGTATAGTTTAAATTTTCTCCTGAAGAAGATGGACAGTATGTCAATACTTATTTTGTGGGTGATTACTTCCTTGGTCTTTGTTTCTTTTTTAATGTACTGGTCATCATTTATTGTGCACAGTAACTTTTATTTTCAAAAACAAGTCTGAAAATAAAAATAAATAAAAACAAAATAAAATAAAAAATTAAAAAGCAAGTCTGAAATTATGTTAATAGGACTATCAGAAAATACTAATCATTACTTTAAGATGAAATGACCTCATAAAAATACTGTTTATGGTGCTGACAGTTGTTAATTTGAAGATAAAAGCAATGTCTGATAGAATCATATTTTTTGTCAAATGTTGGTTCCAAAAACAGTGAAATGAAAAGCTAGCTTCTTAACTCCTGCACTCAACGTCCTTTTTTTTTTTCTGTACAAATTAAACCATTTAAATCTGAGTAAGATAATGTGGTTGTTCATTAAACCTGCACCTTGTCCACAACAGACTTTTAGTAAATATTTGCCGAAAGGACACCCATTTCTGAAATTTTAGTTCTTATGGCTAATCTTATGGCTAATACTCATCTTTTTAAAAGAATGAGAACTCAGTTCAGATTGCATAAATGTTCCTTGTCTGAGGAAAGCATCTGCATCCTACAGACCAACTGGAAAGCCAAGGCTCTGGGTGAAAGCAGTAACCTCTGCCTCTAGACTTCTTCCAGCCTACTGCTACCTACAGGTTCAGGTCCTGGGCCTGAGCTGTGGCCTCCAGCCCAGTCATCTCTGCTGCAGACAGGCTGCCCCACAGCTCATTCTCCTGCCTAAAGGGCATTTGAGCAACTCAGAGTTTTTCCATAAACTGACCTTTGTATTATTAGAGCCTTTAGGAGATTTTTGTTAGAAACCAGAGACCTCCCTTCAGCCCCTAAACAAGTTTTTCCCTCTATTCCAACTACCTTTCCAACTTAATAAATTTGTGGATGGCTTCACCCCCTTTACTATCCCACATTCTTAGTTCTATGTTAGCTTTACATCTCAGAAATGGTGAAATGTACATCGGCCCAATAAAATAATGAAATAACAAAACAAAAAAAAAAGATGGCACAAATATTAAATCTTGACCGATAAAAGAGATCCAGAAGACAAGGCAGGTTAAAATGCGTTTCTTTACAACTCCTTGTCTCGAAATGAGGCATCCTTATGAAAAAAAAAAAAAAAAAAGGAGTTGTGCCTTTCAGCTTCCCGCATTCTTCACCCTAATTTCCAATCTAGACTTCCTGGATCTTTGACCCTAGAAATTCTCAATTCAAAAATAAGGCTGTGCGTCCGGTCGTTCTTGGTTTGGTTTGGCAACTTTCCCGTCGTGGAGTCTTCTCGCGCCGAGTTTGTCTGCGTAACGCGGGGGAACGTCCTGGGCGGCGGAGAGCCACGGGCTGAGACCCACCTCGCGGGGCGCCCGCTGCATCGCCTCCAGGAAGCCCCTCGCCCCGCTCAGCCCCGGCTTCTGCGTCTCTCAAGCGCGCGTGCCAAACGCGGAGCTCGCAAGGGGACAGGGGCCGCTGGGGACCACAGGGAGGGAAGGAGTGTGCGCGCCTGGCACCTTGCTCGGGCGCTCTTCCCTGCCCCCGCCTCCCCCCGGGGTCCGCAGTCCTTCTCCGGGCTCTCCTTATAGACCAGGAGGCAAAACTGCCCCCAATTTGGGATTCCTAACTCGGAAGACCGTTTGAGCCGCGCAGCACCCGCGGCTCTTCCTCGCTTGCGTCCCGGGGAGCTGTCCAGGTAGAGGGGTGCGGCAGGGGCGCGGGCAGGCGGGGCGCCCCTCTCGCTGCGGCCGGCGGGCCCCATCGCATCCCCTCTCGCACCCGCCCAGGCCCGCGAACACCCCGTCGGCCGCCCCTCGGAGCCGGGTTTCCTTCGGGAGATGCGGCTCCGTGGCCTCCCTCCGGATCCCAGCCGCAGCCCGCCCCCGCCCCGCCCCGCCCCGCCAAGGAAAGGTGTCGGAAGCTGGAGCGGGGAGAGGGGCCGAGGCGCCCCGGGCGACGGCGGCCCGCGCGGCTGCGGAGGGAGCAGTCGGCGCCAGCGGCTCCCGGCCCCGCGCGCCCGACGCTCCCGTGCCGCGGGCTCCAGCTCCCGCCCCGCCGCAGCCGGCGGATCTGCCCCGCGACGGCTGCTCGCCCGGGCCCGCGCCCGCTCCGGGCTGCGGCCCCGCGGGGCGCTCCCGGGGGCGCCGCGCTCCTGGACGCCGAGAGCCGGGCCGCCGCCGCGCCCGCAGGGGGCAACCGCTACCTGTGGAAGTAATGCGCGCAGAAGAGGCCCAGGAGCACCGTCGCAGGCTGGCCGAGGAGAGCGCGCGGCTGCCGGGCGAGGATCCCCGCGGGCACCACGAAGGAGGGCAGCTCCTGCAGGAACCAGGCGGCGCGCGCGGGCAGGCGGGGGGCGGCGGGCGTCAGGCCCTCCGAGTACTTCCCGTAGCCCGAGGGCTTGGCCAGGTACAGGAACAGAGCCCCCATGGCCGCCAAAGCGGCGCTGCCCGCCAGCACCGGGCTCTGCTGGCAGCGAATGGGCATCGCGCCGCGCTCCCCGCCGGTGCCGGTGCCGGTGCCGGGGCCGGTGCCGGTGCCGGTGCCGCCGCCCGCGCACAGGCGAGCGCGGTCTTCACGGCCCCTTTATGGGGCGCTAGACGCCACCCTGCGTCCGCCCCTTCGGCCTTGGCTCCCGCCCTTCCATCCTGCCCGCGGCCCCGCGCGGCCAGCCCTCGCTCGGCTCAGCGTCGATGCCCCTGTCGCAGCGCTGGCGCCGGGGCAGGACCGAGGGTCCTGGGGGCCCCCGCCGCGCGCCCACCTCGCCACCGCCTTGCACCGGCGCCCCCTGGAGCTGCCCTTCGAAGACCCGCTCCTCACGCCTCGCCCCCTGCGGCTGCCGCTCCTAGGACTAGGAACTCAGGGGAGAAAGCCACGGGGCGACTGCGCCCTGGGCCGTTGTCCGTCCCGCCGCCTCGCAGCCTCCAGATCCCCTCCGAGCCCTCCCTGCCCGCCCCCCCCCGCTCCCACCCGACCCCGGGCTCGGCCTGCAGCGCCTCCCGCGCCCGCCACGCCTTCTGCCCAGGGCCTCGGTGCTCCTTCGCCACGCTCAGTCGGCGGCCCCTCTGCCCCATCGCGCCCCGGGGCCCTCGGTCCTCCGCGGTCCGCCTCTGTCGCGCTGGGTGCGCCCTGGGCCGCCCGCCTCCGTCCACGAGGCGCGTCCCCAGCGCGGGGGCACCAGCCAAGCTTGCGGCCCCGAGTAGTGAGGCGGGAGGCGTCGGTCCGCCCTGGCCTCTCCGCCGCCCCCGGATCCCTGCAGCCGCAGGACCCAGGCTAACGTCCACGGCTAAGGCCGCAGGACGCCCTCTCCGCGCTCGTCGCGTGAGTCGGGTCCCACACGGTGGTGGCTGGAGATGCTACTGTGCTCTGAACATCCAGACGTGGTTCTCCCATCTATTTCCCACCCTCTTCTCATCCCTCACCCCCTTGTTCACTATCCATTTCTTCCTCCCTCCGCCGATTCACTACGCAGACGTCCTTGGCTGCCCTCCGCCTATGTTTCATGCCCCTTTTCATCTCTTCCGTCTCACTTTGACCTGGTTTCCTCCTCTACCTTGGCCTTCTCTTCCCGAGTGCTGCTCACATCACTCTTCATCTTCTCGTCCCATCTCTAATAAGCATTACTTTATCCCTATTATTGTTCTCCTCTGGTCCCTACTTCAGGCTCCACCCTAACCCTCCCTCTTTCCTTGGCTTTCTTTATCCTTCTTTCTTAACTCCAACTCACTACCTCTCAGGAGCACCGCTCACTATCTCCCCATCACCCCTGCCCTGTCCTACTGGCTGTACCAAGGAAAGGCACACTGTCCCATCTGCCCAGTTTGAGGGTGTTTCCTGATACCTGTGACATTTTCCAAATTTCCTGAGAATCCCATCTTACAGATCTAAGAACCTTGGTAAACCCCAAGCAAAATAAACACACACCCCTAACACACTCAGCAATCACAAATTTGATGGCTTGAAAAACAAAAGTTTATTGCCACACAGTTCTGGAGGCCAGAAGTCTAAGATCAAGGTTTCAGAAAAGTGAGTTCTTCTGAGGGCATTGGAGGATAATCTGTTCCATGACTCTCCTCTAGCTTCTGGTAATTTGCTTGAAATATTTGGCATTCCTTGGCATGTAGAAGCTTCATTACCATTTCTGCCTGAATCTTCACATAGCCTTTACTCTGTGTGTATATATCTGTGTCCAAATTTTTCCTTTTTATAAGGACATCAGTCATATTGGATTAAGGGCCCACTCTGCTCCAGTATGATCTCCTCTTAACTAATTATATCTTCCATAATCCTATATCCAAATAAGATCACATTCTTACATGTTTGGGGTTAGAACTTCAACATAGAAGTTTTGAGGGAGAGGGACACCTGAGTGGCTCAGTCGGCTACAAGTTGTACTCTTGGTTTTAGCTCAGGTCATGATCTCGGGGTTCTGGGATGAAGCTCCCCATTGGGCTCCATGCTGAGTGTGGAGCTTGTTTAGGATTCTCCCTCTCCCTCTGCACCCCCATTCGTGTTCTCTCTCCAAAAAGAAGAGGAAGAATAAGAAAAAGAAGAAGAAAGAAGAAGAAGGAGAAGAAATTTAATCAGCAGCAATGATTAACCTCAGTAAACTATAAAACAAAATATGCTTTCAATGCCTGAAATCACAGTATAGAAATGGGAAATGGTGAGATATCGAAGTGATTTTTTTAAGATGGAAATTCTAACTAATAATACACTATATGTTAATTGATTTTTAAATGAAAGAAAGGAAGAAGGAAAGAGAGAAAGAAAAGAAAGAAAGAAAGAAAGAAAGTTCTAGAACCAAAAAATCCAATTTATGGGATAGACATACAACTGAACAAAGAAGATGGAAGGAAGAATAAGTGGACTTCAAGATAATTTGATAAAAGGCAAAAAATTACAAATTCAAATTATTCAGTGAGAAATAAGCAGAAAAATTACAAAGTCCATGCTGAGGCAAGTCATTTAAGTTATTGAAGGTCAAAGATAAAGGACAAATCTTAAAGACAGCAATAGAAAAACAACATATTATATTTAGGACAACAATCTGATTAACAGCTAACTTCTAAAAAATTTTAAGAAAATAAAGAAAAAGCTAACTTCTTATCAGAAGAGAATGTAAATCAGAAGAGAGTGGAACATCTTTAAAATGCTGAAAGAAAAAAACTCTCTACCCAGAATTCTACCTATATCCAGAAAAAGTATTATTCAATAATGAAGGTGAAATATGAATATTTTCAGTTAAACAAAATGAGTATTCATAACCTCAGTACAATAAGCAGTAAAGTTCTTGTGACTGAAGGGAAAAGATAACTGATAAAAAATATAAAGGATGGTGAGATACAAGTTTATAAGGTTGCAAAATTTCTATTTTTTTTAAGTGAAGCAGTATATCGCAACTATAACTACATTGTGACAGTTACGATGTATGTTGAAATCTATAGGACAACCCTATAAAAATTTAGTAAAAAATAGCTACTATGTGTAAGGTTCAATGTTAACTAGACTCTTTGTGATCATTTCACAATATATACAAACATTGAATCATTATGTTGTACACCTAAAACTAATATAATATGTAAATTATACCTCAATTTAAAAAAAAGAATAACTACAAATTCAACAGTAAAACTAAAATAAAAATCTTTTAAAAATCAAATAATCAGAATGAGGGGACAGGAAGAGAACAATAAGAACAAAACACAGAAGAGATAAATGGTTGGAACAGCTTGGAAAGGAAGAAGTGAAATTATATCTTCACAAATGATATGATTTTATATGTAAAGCACTAAGGAATCTACTAAAAAACTACTAGCACAAATAAGGAAGTGCACCAAGGTTACAAGATATAGGATCAAATATCCATTGAAACTAGCAATGAGGATCTGACGTGAAATTACAGAAATGATCCATTTACGATAGTATCAAAAGTCATAAGAGACTCTTAATCACAGGAAACTGAGGGTTGCTGGAGGAGAATGGGGTGGGGGGGATGGAATAACTGGGTGATGGAGGGCATGTGATGTAATGAGCATTGGGTATTATATATAACACTGATGAATCATTACACTCTACCTCTAAAACTAATAATACACTATATGTTAATTGAATCAAATAAACAAACAAATAAATAAAAATAATAGCACCAAAATACTTAGGGATAAGTTTAACAAAAAAGGAATGAGACTTATATACTGAAAACTACAAAACATTGTTGAAAGAAATTAATGAACACTTAAATAAATGGGAAGATATCCCATGTTCATGGATTAGAAGCCTTAATATTTTTAAGATGTCATACTTCCTGCTATAGACTCAGTTGTGTTCCCCTAAAATTCATATGTTGAAGCCCGAACCCCTAATGTGACTGTATCTGTATCTGAAAATAGGGTCTTGAGGACATAATTAAGGTCAAATGAGATCATAAGCATGGGGCTCTAATTAGATGTAGGACTGTGGTCTTATGAGAAGAAAAAGACCTATCTCTCTGTCTCTCTCTCCCCCATGTGGAGAAACAGTGAGAAGGCAGCCATCTGCAGCCCAAGAAGAAAACTCTCACCAGATACCAACCCTGCTAGTACTCTGATCTTGGATTTCTAGTCTCCAGAATTGTGAAAATAAATTTAAGTTTAAGCCATTCAATCTATGGTATTTTGTTATGGTAGTCTAAGACATGCCAAACTGGTCTCCATAGTCAATTCAATTCCTATCAGATCAGAATCCCAGCTGACTTTTCAAAAATGGAAAAGCTGATCATAAAATTCACATGCAAACGCAAAGGGCCAAGAATAGACGAAACAATCTTTTAAGAGAAGATAAAATTGTAGGACTTATACATCTTGATTTCCAAACTTACTACAAAGAAACACTAATCAAGACAGTGTGGTACCAGCATAAGAATATACATATAGATGGAATAGAATTTAGAGTCCAGATAAAAATTCATACATCTCTGGTAAACTGATTTTCAACAAGAGTGCCAAGATCATTCAATGGAGAAAGAATAACCTTTCCAAAAAATGATGTTTGTACCATAGCTGGGGGCATCACAATGCCAGATTTCAGGTTGTACTACAAAGCTGTGGTCATCAAGACAGTGTGGTACTGTCACAAAAACAGACACAGAGATCAATGGAACAGAATGGAGAACCCAGAAGTGGACCCTCAACTTTATGGTCAACTAATATTCGATAAAGGAGGAAAGACTATCCACTGGAAGAAAGACCGTCTCTTCAATAAATGGTGCTGGGAAAATTGGACATCCACATGCAGAAGAATGAAATTAGACCACTCTCTTTCACCATACACAAAGATAAACTCAAAATGGATGAAAGATCTACATGTGAGACAAGATTCCATCAAAATCCTAGAGGAGAACACAGGCAACACCCTTTTTGAACTCAGCCACAGTAACTTCTTGCAAGATACATCCACGAAGGCAAAAGAAACAAAAGCAAAAATGAACTATTGGGACTTCATCAAGATAATAAGCTTTTGCACAGTAAAGGATACAGTCAACAAAACTAAAAGAC